TCTACCTTGACCCCAACATCATGATGTCATTTTAGTCCTCTTCAAGAATTAAGGACAATAACCAACTCTGGTTCCCTTGATAGAACCCAACCATTGGCTCATAGGATTCACAGTGTCATGAATAGAATCTCACCATTGTAAAAGACTTCAGAGGTCACTTAATCCAATACACTTTACAACAGAAATTCTCTCTATAATATGCCCAATGAGTAATCATCCAGCCTTAGCCTGAAGAGCTTCAGCAAGTAAAAAGTCACTGCTTCCTAGAGGAACCCAGTTCATCTCTGGATTAATCTAGCTCTTCCAAAGGTTTCTATTTGTTTGTGTTTTTCTTTACATGGAGCCAAAACAATAAGAATAATAATGAGTAGTAGTGGTAGAAGTAACATCTGACATCAATTAATATAGAACTCTACATACACCTTCACAGCAACCACACAAGGTTGGTTCTACAGATTTTAATAGGATGATTTTAGAGGAAACAGAGACTAGAAGCTTAAGTTGTCCACAGTAACATAGCTGGTAAGTATCAAGAGTACATAGTCGACTCTAGGCTTCCCTACCTCTAGGTCCCATGTTCTCTCTATACCAGCAGATCTCAAACTTTTTGGTCTCAAAATCCCTTTATACCCTTAAAAATTATCTAGGACCCCTCCCCCAAAGAGCTTTTGTTTATAAACCACTGGGTCATGGCCAGTGGTCTTCTGGTAAATGTTTAACAAACAGCTCTCTGAGAAAAAAAAAAAGCACACACCACACATTTTAAGTTTAACCCGCATTAACAACATTTTCCCCATCACTTTCTTAAGTTTAAGCAATCAACAAAACAATAAATCAACCCTTGTTTTGTAGCATTTGCCTATTTCCAAGGTGTAAATGCTCACATTGAGATTTAACAATCAGCCAGTTTTTGCCAACCAGTTTGAGCTGACTCCAGTAAATCCCTGATTATATCTATCAATATCTACCATATTAAATTATCTTAGTTTATGATGAAAATAGTTTTGACCTCCATGACTCCCTGAAATGGTCTCAGCGATCACCACTGATGCCCATCCCATACTTTGAGAACCTTTCCTCCATACTCTACTGCCTCCCCGCATTTTCATTCCATCCTTTCTAATTCTACCCTTTATGTTTAGCACAGTGCCTGATACATAGTAAGTGCTTAATGAATGCTTATTTCCTTCCTTCCTTTGGGGCCAAATAAAACAAATTGAATTCTTCTTCCTCATGATAGATTTTCAAATAGTTGTTAACAACCATCACAATCCCTTTAAATCTCTTCTCCTGGTAAAAGATCCATCTTCAACTGATCATACAACTTGGCCTTCCTACAGAATGGTCTTCAAACTCTTTACTGTACTGGCTGTCCTTCTCCGAAGGTCAACATTTTTCCTAAAGTATAGTAGTAGTCAGACTTGAACACACTATTCCCAACACGCTCTGACTTAGGCAAAGGACAGGCAGCAAGACCATCATATCCCTCTTCGTGGACACCATGATGATGTTAGTGAAGCCTGAGATTGCATTAGTTCTCCTGGTTGTAAAATCATGCTGTTTTTAGTTGAATGAAACCTCCAGCTCTTCTTTCAGAAAAACTGCGGTCCAGCTATGCATGTCTCCCTATCTCATACTTGAGCAATTGATTTTTTGAACCACTACATAGGACTTTACATTTAATTCTCTTAAGTAACCGCTTATTAGATTCAGTTCATTATTACAGCCTGTTAAGGTCCCAACCCTGTTACCCAATGTATTATTTATCCTTTCCAGGACTGTGTTATCTGAAAATTCAAAAAAATCATACCATCTATGGCTTAATACAAGTAAATGATGAAAATATTAAGAAAATATAGCCAAGATCAGGGGGTCCTTCACAAGAAACTTCCCTCTAGGTTGGCATCAATTCCTCTCCTTATCTTTTTACACTTTCTTGGTGTTAATATATATGTATATATATGTGTGTATGTGTGTGATAATACATATAAATATATGTATATATACATAAATACATGTATATATATACATACATATGTATATAGCTTCTGTAGATTTAATTTCTATCTCTATGCAGATTTTCATAGAAGAAATAATATTTAGAAATGGAAAGTATATATGGGTAAGAGTGAAGAGTTGAGGACAACAGCAAGCTGTCAATCTGAGTAGCAGGAAAGATGGTGGTACCTTCACAGGACTAGGGATATTCAAATGCCCCAGAAGCTACTAAACTGAATACTTTTTGGCCCAGCTATATCATTACTGAGCATATGCCCCTAAAGAGATCAAAGAAGGAGGAAAAGGTCTTTCATGAGCAAAAATATTTGTAGCAGCCCTCTAACATCCCACAGCATGAGGTTCACCTCCAGAGGCAGCCCATCTTTAGACAGCTCAACTCTAAGTTATATTTCCTTATATTGAGGCAAAATCTACTTCTCTGTAGGCTCCACCCATTGGCCTTACTTCTCCTCTTCGGAACCCTGTGGAATAACCAGGAAATCAAATGCCAAGTTTGATTAATTCTGCCTCCACAACATCTCTCTCATTAATCCCTCATTTCCCCATTCATTACTCACCTGGACTTAATTGGTCTCCTTTCCCCCAGTGTCTCCCTTCTCCAACCCATCATCCACATAGCTGTCTTACTGATATTCCTAAAACATCAATCTGATCATCCCTCCACAAACATACACACTCAAAATTCTCAGAGCCTCCCTATTGCTTCTAGAAAAAAATATAAAATGTTCAGTCTAGTATTTAAAGCCCTCTACGGTATGACTCCCACCCACTTTTTGGTCCCATTTCATATTACCCTCCTTGGGGAATAGCTCCACTCCAGACAAACTGGCCTGCTAGCTGTTCCTTACACATGCTGTTTCAGTAAAGAACAGATGAGCACCTGCCAGTTATGATGCAATGGGTATTCCTTTCAAGTTTGGGTTGGACTAGATAACTACAAAGATCCCTTCCAGTTCCAAGTTCTTTCATTCTGATTCCTGCTTCCATACTCTTGTACAAGTATCACCCCCCAGTCCCACCATCTATGGTGGCATATACTTGTAATCCCATCTACTGGAGAAGCTGAGGCTGGTGAACTCTCGCGCTCAGGAGTTCTGGGCAACAATGGGCTAAGCCACACTAAATTCAGCATTAACATGGTGAGCCCTCTAGACCACCAGGTTGCCTAAGAAAGGGCAAAGCAGTCCAAGTGGGAAATGGAGTGGATTAAAGTTTTTGTGCTTATCAGAACAGAAGGAGGCTTGCAAATATCCCCTGAACTTCCAGCCTGGGCAAGATAGGGTGATCCAGTCAGATAGATAGATAGACTGATAGAGAGACAGATAGATGAATAAATAAATGGAAAAAATGAGTGAATAAGTGAATGAATGAATAAGTAAAAAGACAAAAGAATGAATAGATAGACAAATGAATGGATAGATAAATAGATGACTAGATAGATGAGTAGATGGATAGATAAATAGAAAATAAGCATTTATGAAGCACCTACTATATGCCAGGTGCTATGCTAAGTACCTTACAAACTTTATCTTAGTTGATCTTCACAATAATCCTGTGAGATAGGTGTTTTTATTTTACAGTCGAAGAAACTGAGGTAGACAGAAGGTAAGTGACTTGCCAAGGTGCACACAGCTGGATTCACATGACTCCAGTACAGATGGAAGGCAGAAGAATGTTTCTAGAAGACAAGTTTGTTTGGCCCTGCTGCCTCTTGTGTATATAAGGTAGACATGGAGTTTGTTTAAACAGATATCATGAAATCTAAATAATCCCCACCCTATTCCACACACGTCAACTGATAGCCAGTCTTCAAAGCCTAGTCATGAACTGTGTGCATCCCTTCCCACACATACACCAGCTGGGGAACAAGGTCAGGGCCTTCAAGACTAAAGGCCATCATGCCAACTGTTTTCTTTGAAAATCCTAGAAAACTCTCTTTGCTCTTTTCCCTGGCCATTGAAAGACACCACATTCCTTGGCCTCAGACTATGGAGTAGGAAGGTTCCTGAACAGATCTCCCAATGTCAGAAGGTATGTTTCTCAGAAGGAATTTCAAGTGAGTGGTAAGTCCAGACCAGTCCTGGGATGTGTGTCCATATGTTCACACATGTGTGTATATGCATGTATATATATGTGTGTGTGTGTACACATATATGTGTATGTTTGTGTATGTACATTATATATATATATATGTCACCCTACTCAGACCTTCTGACTGTAAGCCAGTAAGCATAAACAAAGAAGTGTAATTACAGATACTTAATAGAGAAAGAGTTTGAAATACAATTGGAGATGAGAGAATCAGAGTCCTAGAATGTTAATCTGTTAGAAATCTTATACAACATGGGGAAGACTATTTACAGAAAAAGACACGCCTTTTCATTTACTATCTTCACCCTCTTAATCTTAAATATCTACCTTCATCTACCCAAACTAAATAAATTGGTGCCAATTTATTTGACTTCAAGCTGCACCAGGCAACCTCTCTCTTCTCTTTCCCTTCCCTTCCTTTCCCTTCCCTTCCATTCTTTCCTTTTCCAGAGACAGGGAGCCTGCCAAGTTCACTTATCCCAAGGATAGAAGAAGACAAGCTTTTCAGATTATTTTAATGCTAATAATGATAGAATGAGACTCCAGAGAGCTCAGAATCCTTTACATTCATGGACTTATTTTTCATCCCAACGTTCCTAAGAGGCAAAAAATGTTCTCCGCATTTCCCAGACAAGGAAACTGAGGTGCTTAGAGGGTAAATAATTCCTACCCAAGCTTAATGGAGCTTACTAGAGATAGATTCCAATTTTCCACACCTCTAATCTAGTTCTCACTCCCCAGGACTTGGCATGCCTGTCCTAGGAATGGTCATTTCCAGACTCAAGATCTTAAGGCTGGAGCTCAGTAACATTCAGAATGAGGGATGGGGAAAGGGAGAAAGGGAGGATTCAGAGACTGTCAGTCAGTTCTAAACGAGTGTCATCACTTACCCCTGGCCAGGCAATGGGATAGAGTCCAAGTGGCTAACCCCTGGGAATGCCATCATGTTTATCCCAATCTGGAGCACGGCCTGGTCACAACTATCTGGTCCCTGGAAGGAAAAGAGAACATGGTTATTAGTGACAGCATGGACCAGGAGCACAGAGCCAGGTCAAGAAATGAGTGACATTGAACGTTAGGGACTTTGGAGACTATATAATCCAATCCTCTCTTTTTATAAATAGCAAAGAAATGGCTTTAAGATCGCACAGAGAGTTAATGGCAAAGATAGAATTTCAGTCTAGGGCTTCTGACCATCTTGGCCACCATCTTGACCTGAAAACTTTCATTACGACATCTTCTTCCTTGCTAAGTCAGAAACTAACCCTTTCCTCAGTCATAATTTCAAGTTTGGACCACCCATTAAGGTCCTGTGTTTCTGTATCAGGAACCCAGGCAAGAGGATTGTTATACTATGAGGCAGCCTGCTCTCAGTCCAGCTTCCTTGCCTTGACGCTAACCAGATGTGGTGCCCTGGTTGAGTTGGTCAGAGCCTTCACATTCTCATGTGTACAATGGGGGACGTTTTCCCTGCCTACCTCATGTGGCCGCCTTGAGGTTTAGGGTAAAACTAAATAGTGCAAAATAACTCTCAGTCCCAGAGGAACCTGAGTGTTCTCTCTCTAGAGTTGCCTTATCACAGTACTTCACACACGCATTAGAGCTCAGACATAATTCCCACTGAGAGAACAATTGGCCTGTAATAATGCACTCCGGGGAGAGAGTCCCCATCCAGCTCAAATCCGCCCGCTCCCTGGAGATGGATGGAGAGAACCTGTAATGCATTTGTTTCTTCTTAATGGAAAATTCCCCAGATTTCCCCTGCCATTTTCTCTTTTTAAGAGAATGTGATTTCCTTTCTTAAAAGACTGGCCTCGGGACTCATTTGTGAGACAATCTGGGTCTTCCCTCTGCTGAAGTGTATAGATTACCAGGGGCCTGATCTCTATTCTGTTTGATCTCAGAAGTTACAAGAAGTGGTTTATCTCCCAGCATGTGTCCTACAAATTTAGAGCTAGAAGGGACCTTCACTCAATTATCTCATTTATAGGTTCAGAGAAAGTAAATGACTTATCCGAGATCACAATGCTAATTAATTAATGGTAGATCTGGGACTGAAACCCTAGATTTTCTTCCTCCCAGGCTGGGCCTTTTGCCATCACGATCCCCTGCCCCTCAGCCCAGTCAAGGGTGGGGCCACACGCATTTAGACTTTCCTACCCCACAACAGGGAATTCGGAAAAATCTCAGCATCTTCCTGATTTCAAGGGGATCAACTCCCCACATAACAATCACCTAGAACCTCTCCAGTCCTGGTACCCATACACTGCTCTCTGTCTTGGATTTCCTACTTCTGCTGTTACCACAATCTTCCCATTGATCTAGGGCCTAGATCCTTTTATGAAGGGGATTTGTTCTGTGAAGTTTGGATTCAGACAGAGGGCCACACTTGAGGACCTAAAGGGCCACACATGGCCTCGAGGCCTCAGGTTCCCCACCCCTGATCTAGGCTCTTCATTAGCCCTCATTAACCTCAGTTAGTAAGTCCTATTAATTCTATCCCACTACCAATATTGCTATATTAATATACCCCCCACTGCCTACTGAATTTAAGTCATTCAAGCATTTATTAAGTACCTGCTGTGCACCACAAACTGTGCTAAGAGCTGAAAATGCAAGCACAAAAATAACAAAGTCCCTGCCTTCAAGGAGCTTACATTCTAGAGAAACAGCAAGTGCATGAATGATACAAGAATAACAGCTAACATTTATATTGCACTTACTCTGTGCTGCGTACAATGCTAAGTGTTTTACAAATATCATCCTCACAGCAACCCTGGGAAGTAGGTACTATTATTATCCCCATTTTACAGATGAGAAAGGTGAGGCTAACAAAGGTTAAGTAATTTACCCAGGGTCACAGAGCTAGTAAGTGTCTGAGGTCAAATTTGAACTCAGGCCTTCCTAACTCCAGAACCTCAAGCAATTTTGTGTATATATATACACAAACTTATTGTTGAGTCATTTTTCAGTCATGTCCAACTCTCTGTGATCCTATTTGTGGTCTTCTTGGCAAAGATATCAGAGTAGTTCACTATTTCCTTCTCCAGCTCATTTTACAGATGAGGAACTGAGGCAAACAGGGTTAAGTGACTTGCCCAAGGTCACACAGCTAGTTAGTGTCTGAGGCCAGAATTGAACTTAGGAAGATGAGTCTTCCTGACTCCAGGCCAGGCACTATGTCCACCGTACCACCTAGCTGCCCATTGCATGTGTTGATAAAGGTTTTAAAAAAAATGCGCTTCCCTCCCTTCTTTGAAAAGGTGGGGTATTACGGATGTGAAACACTGAATATGCTGCCACTTCAGTTGATATGTTGGTTCCTTTGTTTATCTGCTTTTCTCTCTTTTTTTAATTCTTGCCTACAAGGCTAGGAGGGTAAGATGGAGGGTGGGAAAGGAAAGAGCTATAAAAACAGGAGGTATCAACAACAATTTAACATTTTTAAAGAAAAAGTTGAATAAAATATCAGGGTCCTGAGAAGGGGTCAGTTAGCCAAAGTTTTCTTTGGCAGGGGATCCATTTTAAAGATACTGACCACAAGGAAAATTCTACATAAAAAAGCCCTAAGGAATGAATTGCAGTCCCCCCCCCCATCTGACTCTCTCTTGATCACTGAATACTATTGCTTTTCCTCATAAAAGGGGGAAAAAGAACATTTGTTCTTGTTCTCTCTGCATCAGGGGAACTTTTTTCTTTAGAAGGGAAATGGATTTGAATTCAGAGGTCTTGAGTTCAAATCTCAGCTCTTCTACTTGTTAATTTTATGTCTTTTAATAAGACCTCCAGTTTCTTCCTGTGTAAAATGAGGGACAAGAAGAAATAAATGATTTCAAAGGTTCCTCCTAGCTCTGTAGCATATGACCCCAAGCAACAAGGCTGGGCAACATAGTACAATGATAGACTACTGTATCTGGAATCAGACGACCTGGGTTGAGATCCTGTCTGGCCTCAGACAAGTGACTTCCTTCTCAGAGGTAATAACATTACCCAAAGAAAAAGATCTTGGATTGTGATACAGAATCAGACTGATACTTCCAGATTCCTGGCAAGCTGTCTTGTGCTAGTTTATAATTAATAACAAAACTCAGTTATACTTTTCAGATTATGAAATAAAGTTGCATTGAAAAAGAGGTCCTCTGGACCTCAGCTTCCTCATCCATAAAAAGAAGAGGTTAGGCTACCTAGCTTCTAATGTCCTCCCCAGCTGTAAATCTGTGGTCCTATGATGCTGCCCAGTATCGTGATAAGGTCAGGATGAAAAATTCCTTCTTGTGGCCATTACCTTGGGATGGAGGCAGGGCAGGGTAAGAGATGGAAAGAATGGGGAAAAGTGAAGGAGGAAAGTGGAAGTTCCCCACCCCCAGCAAGTCCCAAGTCAGGAATGCCAGGAGGCCTGTCCTGCATCATTAGCAGTCCAGAGATGGAAACAGCAAGCTATATTTCATGCACATTCTTCTCCAAGTAGTGGGAGAAAGGCGGGGGAGCCTGTAATTTACAAGAAGGACTTGAAATTCTAAGTGCTTATGACTTAATTCAGCCGCCGGTATTGATGGCTCCATTTAGATCATTCCATTTTATCCGGCCCAATACATTAAAAGCCAAACCTTACTCACCTCCATTTGGCTAATGAGGCTCCGTGGCTTTGACAGTGAATGACAGCTATTTACAGTAAATTATTCAACTAGAGCAGAGGAAAGTGAAAATTCTAACTGGCATGCTTGGATGAGACCAAATCTGAACCCTAGCCAGAAGGGGGGCTTGGCCACGGAGACTCAATTGTTTAATCTTTAGAAGGGGCTTCAGGGAGTCCATTATGACTGTGTCAGGGCGGGCGTGGGGAGGCAGGAGTACATAAAGGATCAATATTATGGAAGGTAGTTAAAGTGCTGTGGTCTGGGTAGCTACTTCATCCCAGGCCACTCTCAGCTTTAGGGGAAATAGAAACTTCTTCAGGTCAGGATATATAAGTTTTAAGGTGAAGTATCTCTTTATAGGATCGTTTATTTAATGAAATAATAGCTAGATTTTGCATGGTACCTTAAGATTTGCAAACCACTATATAAACTATCTCAATTTTATCTTCCCAACAACCCTAGGAGTTAAATGCAATTATTATCCTCATTTTACTGATGAGGAAACTGAGGCACTGAACAGTTAAGGGACTTATCCAGGGTCACACAACCAGAATGTGCCTGGGGCAGGATTTGCACTCAGATTGCTCTTACTCCAAGTCTAATTGCTCCAAATTTAGATCCTTGGAGGTCATCTAGTCTAACCCCCTCTTTTGATAGAGGAGGAAATTGAGGCCCAGAGAGATTGGTTAAGTGACTTCTACATGATCTTTTCTGGTCCTCCCAACTGCTAGTACAACATCCCTCCCCCCCCACATTACATGTATTTACATCATCCATATCTAAATGTACATGTTGTCTAACTTTGAGGGAAGGGTAGTTGAATCACTTTTGTCTTTGTGTCGGGCACAGAGTGATAAATTAACAAATGCTTACCGAGTCATCCTGGACTCACTCATTGCCCGAGGTCACACCAATTTTAAGTAGTGGAGCTGGGATTTGAACCCTGGCCTTCCCAGGTTCAAAATCCAGTCCCAGAATCACTTCTTACTGCCCTATTATCGTGGCATGGGCAAGTCCCTTTGCCTTTCTGGGCCTCTCTTTCTTTATCTGTAAAATGGATCTAATAACCTTCATCCTGACTCTTGAAGAGCTTCCAGATGAGAGAATGGATATGAAAGCATTCTCCAAAGAGTAGAGCTCTGGGCATCTGTCAGGGAGTCCAGAAAGAGCAGCAATTAGAGCCCAAATGTGATCTGGTCTCTGGGTATTCTGCTGGAAAAGAAGGGTTGAGGAAGGGCTTCTTTCTATGATCTAACTCTCCTCTCCATCTCACAGAGTCCTGTAAGAAACCACAATGGAATTTCATCTGGAATGGGAGATGGGGAGGGTGGTTTCCCTCTCATCCCATTCAACT